GAAGACCCTGGCTTTGAGGTAGGAGAATCCACCCTGACCTAGGAGATCCAGGGGTACAACCGCTTGGCAGACTGCAGGTACCGCCTTCCACACCCTTGTGATTGATGTCCCTCCTGCGGGGCAAAGTGTTGGCTGAACCCTCCCCTTGTACCTCTGCCCCCTCAGAGGCAGGGGTGCTGGGTCCTCCTGTGCCCTTGGTCTTAGCTCAGGGCGAGGCAGAAAGATGTCAAAACTGAAAAGCTGTCTATCTATTTATTTATTTATTTGTTTATGATGACCGGTATTTATTTATTTATTTATTAAAAAATGACCGGTAAGGGGATCTTAACCCTTGACTTGGTGTTGTCAGCACCACGCTCCCCCAAGTGAGCTAACCGGCCATCCCTATATAGGGATCCGAACCTGTGGCCTTGCTGTTATCAGCATCACACGCTCCCAAGTGAGCCATGGGTTGGCCTTTGAAAAACAATTTTTTTTTTTTTTTTTTTTTTAAAGATGACCGGTAAGGGGATCTTAACCCTTGGCTTGGTGTTGTCAGCACCACGCTCAGCCAGTGAGCCAACCGGCCATCCCTATATGGGATCCGAACCCGAGGCCTTGGTGTTACCAGCACCGCACTCTCCCAAGTGAGCCACGGGCCGGCCCGAAAAACAATTTAATTGAAGCTAATTTTTAAGATATTTTGGTGAGAAAAGCAGCATTAAAATACTAATGATAATGTAAAGAAACCTTGAAAGCCTCTATTCAGACCTAAGAAATGTGAAGTAATTAGATTCAGATTTTCCATTAAAGAAAGTAAAAATGACAGCATTGCAGATCAACCTCTACCTCTCCCCCCAGTTCAGTGTCCCTTCCCAGGGGTGGCCGCTAACATTCCCACTCATTTCTGCCAGTGGTTTTCAATCTTATCTACCAGTGTCAGCTGCCGTAAGTACTACGTACCATTGGCTTATAAAGTTTTACGTAAGTTGTACAACACTGAACTAAATCAACTGCAATATGAGTTTTTCATTCAATGTAGATTTTTTTTTGTTCTTTAATCGATCCATGTGGCTGTATCTAGGTCTGGTTCATTCATTTAACTGCTGTATGTGAGTTAATCTCAGCTGGCCCCTGATCTTACTAATTGGTCACAAGGTGTTTAGTTTATCTCTGCTGAACCAAAGCTGCCCCAATGTCGCTGCCGAGAAGCCTGCCCTTGACTGACGCCCACACTGCCCTGCAGAGTCGCCCCTCGGTCTCCCCTCTGCCCCCCACACCTTCCTGCTGGCCTTGGTGTTGTCCAACGTATGTCCTTTGGTCTTCCGAATGTCCTTAACTAGGCGGAATCCATGTTTATTAGTTTCAGTAATTTATATATACTGTTTCTACAGACAAATAGCAAGTAGCAATACGCCTGAACGGACATACAGGTGGCGGGCAGCGTGGTCTGGGGTCCCGGGGCCACACCTGCCTCGCGCCGGCTGCGCACAACCGGGAGGAGCGCGAGGGACCGACCCCCTCCCTTCCCCCAGCGCACGGCGCCCCCCGCGCCCCCCCAAGAGGCTGGTTCCGGGAGCCGGCGGGGCCCGGCCGAATGGCGCTCCCTCTTGCTCGGCGAGCCTCAGCGGCGAGTCCCTCGAGGGCGCAGAGAGGGGCGCGGGCAAGAACGGGGGCGGGGGGGACCCGTATGACCGAACTCGCGGGGGGTTGCGGGGCGCGGCAGGTTCCACGAGACGCGCGTGGGCTGCAGGTCTGGAGAGGCGCTCGGGGTCCTTTGTCACCGCCCGAACGCGGAGCGGCGTCTCCCAAGAACGTGCAGCCGCGGCTCCAGGGGCGTCGGGCCCTGGAGGGCCCCCGCCGGCGAGCGCGCGTCCCCTCGGCCCCAAGTGGGGCTCCGGGCTCCGCCGTGGGAGGCCCTGCGCAGTCACGTGCTGGCGGGGAGGACGGTCGCTGTGGGGCTCCCGCCATCCTCAGGCCCGGCCGGCCGCCCACTCCACGTCCGGAGACTCAGCTCGCTCCTGTTGCAGAGGGACCCGCTGCTCCACCCCAGAACAAGACCTGCTGGAACCCCAGTTCAGCCGCGGACTCCGCAGAGCTCCGGGAGTCTCTCCAGGCCCTTAAGCCCCTAGCGCGCTACCACTCTGTCCTCCCAGCCCCGGTGCCAGCCGCGACACAGGGGCGGGTCTTGACCTCCAGCTGGAAGCCGGTTGGTGACTAGACGCGCCTCGGGAGATGTCACGGCTGAAGTCGTTGTTGCTGCCGACTCCGTCCCTCGCCGGGCCCCACCCTGGGTCAGCCCCATTCTTATCCTAACCCAAGCACGGTTGAAATCCACCTGCTCCCTCGGCTCCCTCTGCCGCCCCTCCCCCAAGCCTGCTTCCCCCACTGCTTTGCTTAGACTTCTCCATGGCTTCCCAAACCCTGCGCTTGACCTTGAAGTGCCTGAAAATCCCCTAAGCCTCCTGGTCGTTTCTGGCACCTCCTGCCTCCCACCTGGTGGGGGAACCTGTTCAGCCCTAAAGGTATTTCATCCAGAATTCCCTTTTCCCAGGGCTCAGCCTGGAGCATTTGGGCCTGCAACAGGTGTGGGCTCAGGACTCTAGACATCTTTGCTGGATGCTTCCTGACTCCAGGTGGCCCAGCTCAGGCACTGTGTAAGGCGGGGTCCTCCCCAGTCCATCCCAGACTCCAGATGCTGCGGAGGATAGCATGCATGATAACCCATGTCAACATGACAACCACTTGTGCCTTATGCTAGGGCTGGACTTACCCCCCTGGCACGGGGCACCCTAGGCTTCCCATCCTGCCTAGCCTGCACATCCATTGTCACCCTATGTCAGCTGCAGCTGGGGAGGGGCAGCATCTCACAGGCTGACGAACCTGAGATTGACCTGGAGACTCACCATTCTCAGGTTGGACAGTCCTGGAGGCACTGCCCAGGGGCAGCAGGCAGAGCCGGGGCGGGGGCCTTCTCCTCCGGGACCCTCACCCCGAGCATCACAGGAACTTCTGGCCAAGTGCAGGGAGGGGCTCCAGGTCAGCATCCAGCAGCCCCCACCCTCACCCCCGCTTGGGCCCTGAAGGGCATCTCTGGGCAGTGACCCCATGCTCACCACTCTCCTAGCTCCTCCTTCAGGGCGCCTGCCCACTCACCCCTCAGCCTCCTCTGGGCCCAGAGCTCTGGTGCCCTGGGAGTAGCACAGGGCAGTCTGGCTGCGAGCCCCAAATCAGTGTCTCAGAGGGCTTCCCAGGGGTGGGCTTCTTGCCTGAGGAACACGGGCCAAGTCTCAACCCTGTGCCCTACATCTCTCCAAGGGACACTCCCAGTGTCTTCCAGGAGCTGTGTAGAGGGTTTGTTCCCAGGAAAGTCTTGGCTCCTGGTCCTGTTTTCTGGGACCAGGAGGCTTCCGGGGGCTAGAGGGGTTGGCCCCCGCCCCCCACTGGCACCCTGAAGACCCTTCCCCAGGGCTGTTCGGAAGGTGGCCCACTTCTGACACCCCACAGGGCCCTGGCAGGAAATGGGCCCAGGACCATGGCCTATGGCCTAACCTGACCAGGCCCCAAGCTGCCTCGCAGTAAAGAGACCTGAGCCTGAGGCTTTCCAGCAGCACCACAGCCTTCGTGCAGATGGGGACGATAAGGTGGGCCCTCAGGTTCAGGACTCCTGCCTCCAGGCTGTTTCCTCAGCACCACTGACACTCCAGAGGAGGGAGGAAGCTCCCTTCCCAGGGCCTGGTGGCTAATTGGGATGGAGGCAGCTGGGCTCACTCCTTCCAGCCCTGTGCTGCATCATGCACACGTGCACACGCGTGTCTGTGGGTGTGTGTCTGTGTGCCATGTGGTGGTGCTGGCACACGTGTGCACGTGTGATTTTGATCTTTTTCTCTGTGAGCCAACCAGTCCCTGCCCATCTCCTCAAGATCTGTCTCCCCGACTCTGCATTTGGGCATCTGGAAAGACCTGACTAGAAGGACTGGTTCCCCAGCCTCAGGCCCAGCAGTAACCAGGCAGGGCCAGCTTACTGCAGCCTGCAGGTGCCCAACACAGAGCACAGGAGTGTGAGTGAGTGAGGGAGTGGGGAAAGGGGTCCACTCACCAGGGTGGGGAGAAGCCCCTCCTGCTGACCTCTGGGCCCTGCATCAGTCCTCTGTCCTTGGGGCCTGGCCGCCCCTTGGACAAGCCTCCCGCCTTTATCTGCCCGCCATTGGCCTGGTCTCCACCCAGCGACTTCCTGTCCCCGCCCCATGACAAGCTTTTCCATGACAAGGCCTTTGTGAGGTGGGGGTGACCAAGGAGTCCCGGTAGGCAGGAAAGAGGCAAGCACCAGGCCTGAGGGATGGAGGCAAGAAACTGGGGGTCACTGCCTTAGGGCCCTAACCCATCTGCCCTAGCTCAGAGATCATGGCCCACACACGCCCTGTGCATGCGTGTGCACATCTGCATCACGGACACCACACCCAGGGAGGATCACCATGGAGAGGACATCTGGAGGTGACCGGAGAAGTCTGCCTTCACCTCAAATCCAGGAGCCACGCAGACAGGGCTGGACGTGGGTGTCTGGTCCTCAACAGCATAGCTGGTTCACTGAGGCCCCCGCCACCTCCTTGCAGCTGGGGCTCCCGCCACTGCTCACTCCCTCCCGCCACTGCTCACTCCCTCCCGCAGCCACCCCCACACACTGATTTCCGCTGGGTCTCTTGATGGTACAAACGTGGGTGGGGGGGAAGTGGTCACAGAGACTGCCTCTTGTGAGACCCAGAGCCCTCAATGGCCCTGTCACTACCCAGTCCAGACCAGGTGGCCACCAAATGTGTGGTTGTAGGAACCCCACTAGGAGAGGCAGGAGCTGCAACCTCCAGTTCCGCCTTCCCCTCGATCTGGCACTGATGCCTGGTCCAGCTGGGGCGAAGAGAGCCCCTCAACGCTCTTCCTCCCCCTGGTGGCCCGCCACCCTGGGGGACCCTCTCCCAGCCAGGTCCCGTCCAGGATACCACTCCTGGGCCCTAAACAGTCACTTCTTCGTTTTTCTAAAGGTTTATTTTATGAAGTATGTAGAATAAATACATTGGTAACATTTTTAATTAAGTTTTAATTAAATCGGAGACTTTGTACTCTGCCATGCCGGGCCAGGTCAGGCGTTGGGAGGGGACAGGGCATCTCCGTCTGGCCGCTACCCCATGGAGGCCGCTTCTTCCTCGTCGCTGCCATCGGGGGCCGCATCGGTCCCAAAGTAGCGGTCGCCAAAGTTCCCTGGAGAAAGCAGGGCGTATGGCGGGGCCTCCGGGACGCCCCCACCCTGCACCCCCGTGCCCCCACACCGCCTCACCGATGCCCGGGATGATGCGGAAGAGCTGGTTGACGCGCTTGTCTACGGCCGTGGTGATGATCCGCACGCGCGGGAACGCGTAGGCCACCGAATGCACACCCATCTCTGCCATGAGCAGCGACAGCAGGAAGATCTTGTCCTCGGGCACATCGTGGTCCTGCGGCGAAGGCGGGTCAGTCCCAGCTCCACGGGCGCCGCCTGCCGCCCCCGGGCCACTCACCAGCAACACGCGAACGGCCATCATCGCCGCTGCGCCTGTGGACACCGTGCAGTCCATCAGGATCACGTGGTCGTCACTGATGTCCTTGGGCAGCCGCAGGTAGTGGAGCTGTCGGCGGCCACGGGGTCAGCGAGGGCTCCCGCTGGGGCTCCGCGGGGTCGCGCCCCCAAGCCCCCGCCCCCCGTCCGGCACCTCGGGCTCGCCCGTGAGCTGATTGGTCTGGATGAGGATGGTGCCAATGCGCACGTCCTTGCACACGGCGCGCAGCGCGGGCTCCATGGTCTCTCCGGCGCGCAGGATGGACACGCCGGTGATCTGGAAGCGAGACTGAGCGAGGGGACACCCGCCCCGCGCCCCGTCCCCGCGCGCCCACCCCACCCCGCGCCTACCTGCTTGCCCGCATAGCACTTGCCCGTGTAGTCTCGGCCCTGAGGGGTCTGCACGACGCAGTCCTGCGCAGAGCCGGGTGGGGACGTCCGTGAGCACGGAGAGCCGGCACCCCCGACCCATCCCCGCTGCCCATGCTGCTCCTCACCTGGAAGGGCAGGAAGGAGAGCGCGTGTTCGATGAGCAGCCGCATCAGCCTCTTGGAGTAGAAGATGAACTCGTCCCGGCTGGTCTCCTTGTCCCTGCGGGGCGCCCACAGGTTCAGCACAAAGTGGGCCCGCAGGGAGTCGCCCCACCCCGCGCCGCCCCGCAGGTGGGCCCGCACCTGATGATGGTGTGCATGCCCCGCACCTGCGGAGTGCTCTTGAGAACACTTAGCGTCCGCGGCAGGGGGTGGCACTGGTGCGCAGAGGCCAGCGCGGCCCTAGGGACACAAACCAATTGGGGACACTCACGAAGGGGCATCTTCTCTCAGAACTGCACCCTCCCGCACAGGACGGCTGCGCGTCACCGTGGGCTGCACAGTTGTAGTGGGGCAGCAGGATGTGCAGGGTGGGGGGCTGGCTGCCTTCCTGTGGCTGATCTAGGGGGAGATGCCCCCATCTTCACTGCCAGGCAAGGGTGAACGAACACAGTGGAGGCGGAGCAGGTGACCATCTGGCAGAAAGCCAAGGAGGCTGGAGTGTGAGGTGTACCCCTCCTGAGCTCAGGCAACGGGAGGGTAGTTTTAGTCGCCACAATAGGCAGCTTGTCCCCCATCTCTCCCTGAAAAAACAACTGACCTTTGGGGTCAAACCCTGCCCTGGCCCATCCCTCTAGATGGTGTGTGGCCCCTCAAGAGGGGGACAACACTGGCTTAGTGCGGCCTGGCTGCCCCACCCCGTTACCCCAAGCCTGGAGAAGAAAGACCGGCAGGAGCAGGGGCGGGGGAGGAGCAGGCGGGGGCAGGGCCAAAGGTGGGGCGGGGGCGGAGCCGGGCAGCAGCAGGTAAGGAGTGGGGGCGGAGCCGGGCAGGAGCAGGTAAGGGGTGGGGGCGGAGCCGGGCAGGAGCAGGTGAGGGGTGGAGGCGGGGCAGGGGCAGGCGAGGGCGGTGAGGAGCAGGTGCAGGGCGGCGGCGGGCACACACAGCAGCACCACAACCAGAGCGCGCTTTGCTCACATATCCCAGCGCAGCTTCCTCTGCTCGCCAAGTGAAGAGAGAACGAGGCAGGAAACGGGGTTTACAGAGAGAAGGAAGAACAGAGAGAAGAGCGCTCAGTCGGGGAGGGCGGGGCGGCCCCCGCGGCGGCTCTGGCGGCCACCAGCTGGCCTGACAGGAGGCAAGAGCACCACCCACGCCAAGCCCCACACTTCCGTGGCTGACCAGGGAATGGAAAATGTAGCCGGTCGCGATGAGGCGCTTTCTCAAGTGTGAAACCCTGGAAACTTTTTTTCTCAGAACAAAGACTTCAAGAGGAACCTTGCGTGCCCTGGTCTTGGTGAGGGCCAAGCAGAGACTCATGCGGGGACAGGAAGCAGGGGCAGCCGGCACCCGCGCCTGGAGGCATTTCCAATGCACAGTGAGCTCTTGGGGCACCCAGTGTGCACGTGGGAGCTCTCCCACCAGGTGGCTCAGCCTGGAGCAGCCCAACTCCATAGAAAGCCCAGGAAAAGGGCGAGATGACGGGACATACCCCAGCCCAAGCTTCCTGCCTGGGCGCAACACTGCTCCTCCTGGCCTGAGGTGCACTGTGGCTTGAGGACAAAACTGGGACACAGCAGGGCCATGGTGGGCACAGAGACAGTGGGCTGGCCTTCACCACCACCCCAGGGAAAGTCGACTGGCCTGGGGAGATCAGGCAGGGGCAGTACAACAGGCCCTGGAAACGGATCTAGGGCATCTGACTGCCTGGGACGCATCTGTGGTCACTGCCCTGGGGCCTGGCAGTGCTGGCCAGGACAGCTATGTTCTCTGGGGCTGGACCCCAGAGAAAGCCCCACATGGGAGAGGGGCCTCCAGCTAGGTCCACCCCACCCAGAATCAGGCGCTGTGTGACCTTGAGGAGGTCAGTTAACCTCTCTGTGCCACAGTATCCTCATCTGCCAGCAAGAGGAGGCAAAAGCAGTGCCGGGTCCACTCCATACCACAACCTTCTGCATCTGGGGGAGGGCTGCCCCACCCCGCCTGGCTAGGTGATGGCCCAGACCCGGAGCTCCATGTGGATGTTGGAAATGCCTCCATCTGTGCAGACAGCTGCGGAGTCTTACCTGACGCTGAGTTCACGCTGCGGCAGCAACACAGGGAGACACAAGGGAACGGGTGACGCATCAGTGACCACAGCAGGCGGCCAGGCCACCCCCACCCAGGAATGGATACCATGGGAGGTGGTATGCTTCTAACAGTTGCTAACCTGGGGACTACTTGGGTCGGGACCCGCAGCTCAAGGCTGCAGTAGTCAGAGCCAGGACCCCCAGGCTCCACTCTGCAGGCCTCTGGCCTCCTCGGCCTGTTAGAGAGCACACCCAGAGCTGGCCTGGGCTCCGAGGCCCAGCCACAGAACACCCAGGGCATGGGGCTTCTGTGAGGGTCGGGGGATCATTCCTATGGTGACCCACTGAGAAAAAGAGGAGTCACTAGCCTGACGTGGAACTTAGCGCTGAACCCACAGTCATGTGCCAACAGGAGAGCAGGTCACCCTGTCAACCCGAAGAGCTGGGGCCTGAGCACCTGCACCTCCCACACCTGCTCAGAGAGCCCAGCCCTCCACCCAGCACAAAGGGCTGATGAGGCTGAGCAAGCAGGCCCAGGGCACTTGAGCCGGTACTGGGCAGGGGACCGTGAGCACACAGGTGTGCAGAGAGCAGGCCGTGTGGGCAGTGATGGCAGAGGAGGGGGGTGGGGCCTGGCGCTTACCTCCTCCAGCTGGCTGTGTACATGCTGCACGATCAGGTCGATGGCCACTGTGTTCCCGCTCCCTGGGGAAGCACAGGGAGGGTGATGTGCAGGCCGGCCCCCCTGTACCCCGCGTGGACCCCCACAGGCTCACCTCTGGGCACCACGATGTCCGCCAGGCGCATGGTAGGCTGGATGTGCTGGTCAAAGGCGGGCTTCACAAACTTATTATACTGCTTGATGACACCCTCAATGTCCCGGCCTCGCTCGCTGATGTCCCTGCGCAGCCGCCGCACCAGGCGGATGTCAGAGTCCGTGTCCACGAAGATCTTCATGTCCAGGAGCTAGACAGGGACCACAAGCTGGTGAGTGGGGCCAAGGCCTGCCCTGTGGGGCCACCCAGGAGGAGCCGGGCACCAGAAGTGCCAGCATAGTGACCCTGGACCAGCTCCTGCAGCAAGACCTCCTGCTCTGGGTACTGGGACCAGGGCCAACTCCCCGCAAGGCACCTTTTGGGCCTGGACATCAGCCTGTGCCCGTGTGTGGGGTATGTGCTGACAAGATGGGCGAGCACTGTGCTGGCTACTTTACTTTGCTCCATGAAGCTCACGAACACATAGGGGACTCAGGCTGGGTGAGTTCAGGGTGTGGCCCCACACTCAGCACACAGCAGGTGGCCTCTGAAGGGGCTGTGTGGGGTTTGGGGGCCAGGTGTTGCTATGTGCTGGACAGTGGGGTCCTGTGGGCCTAAGCCAGGGGCAAGGCCTGGGCACTGGGATCAGGCAGAACTGGGCCACACTCTGGGCCGGCCCGTGACTCACTCGGGAGAGTGTGGTGCTGATAACACCAAGGCCCCGGGTTCAGATCCCATATAGGGATGGCCGGTTTGCTCACTGGCTGAGCGTGGTGCTGACAACACCAAGTCAAGGGTTAAGATCCCCTTACCGGTCATCTTTAAAAAAAAAAAAAGAACTGGGCCACACTCAGCTCTGCCCAGGAGGCCCATGTGCCCCGCAGCCAAGCCCCTCCAGCTCACTGCCTCAGGATGATGTTGGAAGAACGAGCAGAGCATGGAGAGGGGCGCGCGACCCCACCACACTCGCCCTGTGGTACACCCACAGCTGCCCAGGCTGGGCAGTGCCCTCATAGCGTGGAGGCCTTGGGGATGGGGTGGCTGGGGACTTCCTAGAGGAAGTGTGTTCCAAGACAAGTCAGCAGGGGACAGGGTTGCTGTGAATGGGGTTTCCAGCAGGCCCTCACCTCCAGAAGTGTCTTGTCGGCAAAAGCCATGATGCCCTCAAAGATGATGACGTTGGCACCGTAGAGTGTTTTCTGCAAAGGAGCCGAGAGCTGCTGGTGCCCAGCTTGTGCATTGGCGGCCCCCTCCCAGGTCCCTCAGCAGCCCCGGACCTACCCAGTCCTTCTTCCGGCTGTGGGTGGTAAAGTCGTAGATGGGCACCTTGACACTCTTGCCCTGCTTCAGTTTCTTGAGGGTGGAAACGATGAGGTCGAAGTCGAAGGCGTCCGGGTGGTCGAAGTTGAAGTTGTTGTGGGCGGCCTGCTCCTGCTGCTGCTTGGTCAGCACCTGCCAGGTGGAGGCTGCAGACAGCTGCAAGCACAAGTGGGCCCCCTACCCATGGCCAGCGGGCAGGGGGCCTGGGACCATGGGCCTGCATCTCTGGGGAATGCTTGGGGGAGCTGGGCAGGGGCCATACCTTATAGAAGGAGTCCATTGACAACAGGACCACCCAGGGCACGTCCAGGGCCTCGATGATCATCCTGGCCACGGTGGTCTTCCCAGAGGCACTGCCACCTCCCAGGCCTGCCAGGAAGAGCAGAGACCCCTATGAGCAGGAGCAGCTAGGCTGGCCGCTCAGGAGGGTCCCAGAGATGCTGCCCATGCTGCCGCTGCCTGCAGGAACAGGGCGGTCAGAGCCCTCTCAAACTAGGCTGCCTGACTTTCCTCTCCTGCTCCCCAGGCCGGCTGCCAGAAGGCAGACAGGCGGCACAGGGCAGAGAAGATGACAGCCCGGGAATCTGGAGGCAAGTCCTGGCCTTGTGCTGTGCTCACCGATGACAAAGGCCTCTTTGGACTGAGTTCCATGCTCATTGTACCAGGGTGGCCGGCCTGCTGTGTAGATGGTGCGCTTGCTTGTGCGCAGCAGTGGTGGCTCGGACTTGCACTGGCTGGTGGTCCGCTTCCGGGGCGAGCGCCCAGTGCCCACGGGTGGCAGGAGTCTGTCCAAGGACTCTGCATTGCTGCTGAAGAGAGGGGCGTGCTCAGCCTCAGCACAGGCCTGGCATACCCCTCCATGGGGAGGACCCACCGGGCACAGCCGAAGTGGGCACGCCCAACTGGGGGTGCACAGAAAACTCGCTCATAGCTGGTCCACTTGGGGACCTTGGGGGTCCTGGGACCACTGGATAGACAAACCCATGTAGCTCAGCCTGGGTACAGGGCCTCGAACCATCACTGTCCACCCAGCAAGGACAGAGGTCAGAGAACAATGACAAGGGAAGATGGGGGACGCAGTGTTTCTGGACCCTCCTCTTCCGTGTGGAAGGGGCGTCAGCCATGCTGGGCAGGACCCTGCCCCCAGGAGACGCAAGGTAGGCACATGAAAGACAGGCAAGGCCCCTGGAGGACCTTGTCTCCCGCCCCAACCCAGGACACTCTGGGCAGCCCAATCACTGCCACCCTGCAGGGTGGGTGCCTGAGGAAATGGGAAGGCAACGGTGGGCAGAGGTGAGGCCAGGCCAGACTGTAGACACACACATGTGGGGCGAGAGGCCACTCCATGCACGACAGGGCTGAGGGTCTCAACCAGGGACCTGATACACCTGCTGGTGACAGGAGGGCTCTGAGCAGGGTGGCGCCATGATCTGGTCTCGGGCTGTCAAGAGTGCAGGACGGACAGCAGAAGGCAAACACAGGCTGGGAGACCAACGGGAACCCACTTGTTCTTTTGGTCAGCCCTCCTGGACCCCCAAGATAGAAATCTCCAGCATCCTGCACACACCAGGAAGAAGGTGCCACCCTATCTGGGGAGAGGCAGAGCCCTGCAGGCTGCAAGGCAGAAACTTAACCCCAGGAAGGCACAGACTGTGCCTGTTTCAGCCACACTGCACCCCTCGTGCTAAGCTGACATTCAGATCCCAAAGGCGACAGGGGTGCCGTTACTGACCACAGCCTCAAATTCCAGAGGGGACAGCTTCTGGGGAAGCCTGATGTGGCTGAGCGGTCCTCTGGAAGGCAGCACCAACCTGGCACCAGCTCGGCCTGTTCCGAGAGGCTGGGATGTGGCGCCAGGTATACAGATGCCGTGGGGACCGACACGGGTGAGGCAGAAGGCGCTTGTGGCCACCGCCTAAAAGAGAAACTGGGCCGGTCATGGTGGCCCCAGCGTCACCTTTCAGGCTTGCCTGAGAGATTCTTGGGTCAGTGGCTTGGCCCGACAGGTCATGGCCACTGAATTAGGGCAGAGCCCCCAGCAGGCAGGCAGGAAGTCTATGGAAACAGCAGCTGGAGGTGCAGGACAGACTCCTCCTAGGGTGCTTCCCATGCAGCATTGCTTGTCCCGCAGCCTGGAATCTCACAATGAGGGACGCTGCTCGGCATAATAGCCAAGCCTGAGAAGAATGAGGCAGGTCTGCAGGAACAGCCAGGGAAAGGCATCCTCAGAGCACAGTTAAGTGACAGAAGCAAGTTGCAATGACATGACTGTGTTTATATGAAAGCTGGTCAACAAAGATGAAGAACACACACCCGCACATGCCTCTGTGTAAGTGCGTGTGTGAGATGTGTGTGCACATGCCAGTCATAACAGATTGCCCTGGGCACCAAAATTTGGAACAGGAACTTCTTCTTCTTTTTTTTTTTTTTAAAGATGACAGGTAAGGGGATCTTAAGCCTTGACTTGGTGTTGTCAGCACCACGCTCACCCATTGAGCTAACCGGCCATCCCTATATAGGATCTGAACCTGTGGCCTTGGTATTATCAGCACCACACTCCCAAGTGAGCCACGGGCCGGCCCCTAGAACAGGAACTTCTGCCACGTTTGAATGTTTTATAAGCACATGTCCCTGGGTAATAAAAAACCAAGCCACGGTCCGTCTTTGAAGCTCACTGTCACTGCTACAACCCGCTGTATTGGACCTGGCCCCCAGTGCAGAGCTTCCCCAGGACTGGCCCATGGCCAAGACAAGCATCTTCCTGCCTCTGGCGGGACAAGTATCTCCAGCTTGGGAATGCTGTTGTTCCCAGCAGTATGGTCCTCCCAGAGCACCCAGCAATGCCCCAGGCCAGGAAGACAGTGTCTTTGTGCCCCCGTTGGGGGGGGGGGGGTGTTGTTAGTGGAAGGCAGACACCGAAGCCTAACACGTGACAAGCTCTCCTGGCAGCTCTCAAGGGCTGTGAGAACGACATCCAAGCATCAAGAAAACTACCCATCTGTATCTGACAAGGAGCCACGCTGTGCCTGTCCTCGGGGGACAAAGAAGACAGGTCTGCCTGTTTCCATGCCATTGTTAGGAAAGCGCAGGGCAGTGAGCACTGGGAATAATTAGCCGGTCTGCCGCGTTCAGCCTCCCCTGTGCACTGGGCCTCCCCTCTGCGGCTATGGAGACAGCTCCAGAGCTGAGCGCTGACACTGGCAGCGACTAGCACAAACAGCACCAGCAGCACCCAGACAACTGGGCAAGGGGGGCCTGAAGAGACGCCACTCCTCTGTGCACTGAGGCCGGAGCAGGTGGCAACAGCATGGCTGGCCACCAGTGTGTGGGGGACATGCACTCCCATGGTGGTGGTGAGGGGCCACCTGCACCCCCCTCAGAGATGACGAAAGGCTCTCAGCCAGGAAGGGTGGTGGGACTCAGCCAACACAAGTAGCTACGTCCCTGGGTCCCTGGATGCTGCTCACATGGGCACACGAATCCACCAACAGCAAACGGCTGGCTGTGAGGTACACCCTCGGGAATATCATAGCAGACCCCCTCAGGTTCCACCCTAGAGGTTGCCAAGCCCATGGCAGCAGCACGTTACCCTCGGGAATATCATAGCAGACCCCCTCAGGTTCCACCCTAGAGGTTGCCAAGCCCATGGCAGCAGCACGTTCCCAGCAGACAGGCCCTCTGGGAGGGCCTGGAGGCCATGTGGGTGGCGAGCACATCCAGGCCATCCACTCCTCTCAGTGCCTAACCCCACCAGGGAGGAAAAAACCAGCACAGAAAGTATGATTTGCAAAGTAGCAGGGCTTGAGGCTGAGTGGTTCTGCGCTGTCTCCGTGCCTCACCCAGACTTCAGTGGTGAGCATGCTCACACACACACGGCTGGGACTGACGGGGGATAGAGGCTGGACAATGGAGGCCCAGGGCTGGTGCTGTGCTGCCCCCTTCCCCCCATTCTCACCTGTAGTCTTCTAGTGGCCCGGCCTTCCCAGTGGGAGCCTTCAGGTCCCCCCCCCCCCCGCCATTTGTGACTCTTCCTTATCCTACTGAAGTAAAAACCACCACTACCTTGGATCCCCTTGAGGCTTGTGCTCTGACAGCCTGCTGGGAAGAGTGCCCACATGGCGGGAACAGTTGCAAGCAGGCCAGGGATGATCTCCCCAGCAATCTGCCTCATCTCAGGCTTGCAATGGCCCCACAGCAACAGGCTGGGTCTACGCCAAGCCCAGCTCCACTGCCTTCTCCAAAGCCAGTCTCTGTCTCTGACAGCCAGAGACAAAGTCTCTCCACATTGCTCACGAGAGGTATCCCTGAGAGGGAAAAGTTGCATAAAAGACTTCGTTCCTTACTCACAGATGGACAAGGGTGCTTCTGACCACAATGACAAAATTTAATTTCAACCCACAGAATTGTGAGCCACAGCAGACACAAGACGCACCCATAACCAATGACCCCAAGCTCTGCCCGGCCATTTGCTTTCTGACATCCACAGCCACACACCACACAGGTCCACAGCAGCCAAGACCATAGAGATGGGCTCTCCTCACCAGCAGGGACTCACCTGCCTTCTGCTCCAAGGGCCCAGCACCCCGAGATCCTGATTCCAGGGTAAGCTGTGGGGCTGCTCATGGCCAGAGATACAGGTGGGCACGGGGGTCCTGGAGGTGGTGCTCCCGGACAGTAGGTGATCCGAGGGGTGTGCGTGTGGGGCTTAGGCGCTGGCAGTTATGGGAGACATCACCATCTCTCAGACCCACAGCAGCCTGCCAGGACAGCTTGGAGCTCTGGCCACCTGAACTGCCCCATGGGTGGGACCACTCCTTTAGGCAGCACAACAAGTGAACGGCCAGGTGGGATCAGACCCCTGCCTAGCGGAGGCTGCCTGCTTTATGGTAGGGGGGACAGGGCAGCCGGGAGGCCCCAGGAGCCCCCACCGTACTGAGGAACAGCACTCGCTGCAGGTCTCAGAAGCCAAGGCCACAGGCATAAGAGGATCACCTGGCTGGGGGCTTGTGCGCCTGATATTAATAGCACCGACTCTGCATGGCATGGCCTGGACAACCAGGCCAGCCCTGCGTGTGAGCTGCCCCTCCCGTGCACTGGTGGGCACACTCGCCCAGCCCAGGCCTTGCTGAGCACCACTGTGCTCTGACACCCTTTCCAGAATTCCCAGGAAAAACCTCCAGCCCCTTGCCTGCCTGGTCTGCAGAGCGAATCTTCCCACAGCAGGACAGGGAAACTGGAGGTGCCTCTCAGCCAGGTGACCTGAGTGTCAGTGCTCAGCTCTGGGCTCCACCCCTGGCCCCAAGGTGCCTCCTACAGGCATAAACAACTCTGAAACTCTACCCTCTGCAGCATCCAAGAATAACCATCCCGCCCTGCCCCCACCTCACCCAGTGCTCAGCAGTCACCTGGGGACACAGCCCCTCCCCCACCCACGGCAACAGGAGGAAGAGCTGATTCGGCTCCACTCTCAGCGAGTGTCGAACAGCTAATAATCCCTTTACTAAAGTCAGTAAGTGCATCTGCTCAGAGGTCCCAGCTGGCCCCAACCTTCTCCCAGGGACGGAAGAATCCACCCTGGGTGTCAGCTCCTACCACGGAGTCTCTATGATTTGGCTTCCAGTCCCGACAAAGGGGCAGGCAGGCACTCCGGGAAAAGGGGAGGTTCCGCACCGGGCTCACTGTGCTGGAGGCAGCCTCCCCTGGCCACCTGGTAACTGCGGGTGTGTCTGCCTCCCTTCTGAGGCACCCGTAGGCAGGACTACCCTATCTGCCTGTGTTCCCAGGAGCTTCACCCTCCTGACTCTGCTCCCAGGTGGCTGTCCCCGGCAGGAGTGCAGAGTCAGGGCCCCTGGGGATCACCCCGGCATGCACCCCGGGTGCCCCAGCTGGTTAGGACCTGGGGGCTGGGCAGGAGGCGAGGCTGCAGCCCTGTGCTGGTCCACCCAAAGGAGGTACGGGCCCAGGAGTGTGGGGGCTACCTGAACCGCCAGGCCCTGCCACAGGCGACCCAGCTCAGGCCGGGCTCGGCAGGCACCTTCCGCGACCAGGGCTTGGTGGAGCTGGACTATTGGCCACAGCGGCCCACGACAGGGAGAGGCAGGCTCTTCCCGGTCGTCCTGAAGTAGGTACCTCCCACTCTCCTTACTGTCGTCCTCCCCAGGGTCGGTGTACCCTGGCCCTGTTCCCTGGTGTTCCCAAACTTGTAGTGCGCAGACACCCGCCCCCATGGGCCAGGGACCTCGATTCAGGTAACACCTCCAGGACCAGCCACACTGGCGGAGGCGCCTTTCCGCCAGAGGCTCCCTGCAGTCCCGGGTGTCCGGGCTGCCCCGCCGCCACCCGGGACCTTGGAAAAAGAAATCAATAAACATTTATTTGATACAGTTGTTCTTAATACATACAGTGGATGGTCCGCCCCCGCGCCACTCGGGGCCAGGGCACGGGGCGGGGACAGAGGGTCACAAGGCGGGCCGGGCCCGATCTCACCGTGAAAACGTCTCGCAAATAAACACTTTGTAGATAGAATATATACGTATATATGCGGTTACAGGGGATAGCTGGAACCTCTTTCGAAATGCACTTATATGTACTGAGAACCGGCATTTAAAAACCCAACGCATAGGACGCGTGGCCGCGGGCAGCGGCGAGACACACCGCCCTCGGAGCCACCGGGGGCAGGGGCGAAGGTCACGCCAGGGACGCCTGAGCCGCCTTTTCACGAGCAAATAAAGTGCATCCTATCGTGTGACACGTCAGCCCTCGAGCCAGCCCTTGTGGGCGTGCTCCTGTCCTCGGGGCGACTGGGTGCGCTGAGCCAGAGGTAGATCTGCAGAAGGGACCCCCCCCACCGGGCCTCGGGCAGGACCGCACCCCGGGGTCTGCCAAGCTGGTTCCTCCCACCGAGGGCATCCGTCGAGGCCATTATGCCGACCCTGCTGAGCCCCGCCCAGGGCCCTGTCTCCTTGCAGGAGGACTCTGCAGACCACCTTGCCACTGCCCCTCGCCAGCCACCGCGCAGGAAAGGGAGATGACAGCAGGGAGGGACAGGACGGAGGCTCCACCCAACAGCCACTTTTGGCAGCAGCCCCCGAGCCCACTTTAAAGACAAAGAAGGGGGTTAAAGTGCTAAACATCAAGTTATCCAGGGCCCCCCCCCACACCAGGGACTACCTGTGGGCTTTGGGGTGTCCTGGAAACACCCTCCAGCAAAAGCAGGCTCCCCACTCCTCTCTGCTCCCCAAGGGCCAAGTACCTGAAAGGCTAGGGCAGGTGGCCACACCGCAGAGGTGTTCCAGCCCAACCTCTTCCTGCCATTGGTAACAAGGACAAAGTGCACCAAGGCTCCCGCCCACGCCTGCCCCACCTCCACCAGCTGTACTCAGGGACACAGGAAAGAAAGCCCTCCTGCCCCAAAGCCCCAGCCCACCCTTGGACCTTTGATACTGGGTCACACCCATCCCTGCCCATGCCCCAACCTCGGATCTGGTCAGTGTGTGTGGGTAGGGGGAGCCTCCCTAGCACAGGAAAGACAAAGGAAAAAGCTGGAGACAGGAAGTGCACAGAAACTGAGTCCCCAAAGCTCCCCTGGAACTTGTCTCCCTATTGCAGGTGACTGGAGCCCAGCTGGAGCCTCTTCTCCCTGCAGCTGGGTGAGGGCAGGAGCTGGGGGGCAGACGGGGTGCCCAGTCAGTACTGCTTCCCTGAGCAGCAGAAGGCCCCCAGCCCCAGAGGCCCATGCCCTGGCCCAGCCAAGCCCCCAGACCCACTGTCGGCACCAGGAAACCCTTAGCACCAAAATGTCAGATTGTTGTTTTTGTATAAAAAACAGGATAAAAAAAAAAGGTTGTTACTTGTCACAGCAACAAAACTGGCATCCACTACACCCAGGAGACACAGACACACGGGCAAATATCAAAATTCACATCGTCCAGGATCGGCTAGGCCGAGCCTTCAGCCCACCCCCACCCCCCACTGGAAAACGGCCCGTCCATGCTCCTGAGCACCCTCCGCCCTGCGACGCTGTCGTTTCAAAAGTAGGTCCCATGGAGGAGGCTGCCTGGCCACCTCCTCCAGGCACCCTGGACTCCCTGCCTGACCCCTGCCCAACCTGCAGACCCAGCTGTCCCCAGGACCCCAGCAGGAGCAGACAGAGCTCTGGGGCTGCCGCCAACCAGCTGTGGCCTTGGCCAAGCCCCTCTGCTTGCTGTCCTCCAGCTCCTGTATCAAATGGCCACATACCAGAAACAGAGGAGCAGGGAAAAAGGGAAAGGGGAGGCTCCCAAAGGGGCTCGGTCCCTGGGCCAACCTCAGCCAGGGGAAGGCTCCTTGCCACAGATCCCTGTCCCACATGCCCATGGGCCCGAGAGCCCAGACTAGTCTATTCCTATCCCATCAGGCTGCCCCGAGAGAGGCCTGCAATGTCAGAAAGCTGAAGGCTGGAGGCAGAGCACGCTCTAGAGACCCTCTTGTCCCCAGGATGGCAGCTGTGCCCTGAGGCCCTGGGCCTCCAACTCCGCTCCTGCTGCCCTGCAGGAGGGAGGAGAGTCCCTCCCTTGCCTGAGCAGGGAGCACTGTTGCGGTTGGCTGAGGAAAGCCCTGTGTTTGAGGGGCTACCTCCCCGCACCATGGTGGCAGGGTCAGTGGGGTGGGGCCTGAAGCACAGCAGGGATTACATGAGGGATAGTGCAGGCCTGGAGAGGTAGAGAACAAGCAGAGGGACCAGCGATGGGTGGACAAGGGCACGAGATGGCTGTCGGGTCAGCATGGCAGTGGTCAGACAAGGGGTCTGTCCTGGAGGTAGCTGGGGGTGCTGGAGCTCCAGTGTTGGATGGAGGTGGGGCCCAGATAGTGGCAGCCAGGCCTGCTCAGGTGCCCTCATCAGCCCAGAACCACAGGTCACCAGAGATGCCCACGTCTTGGGGAAGCCAGGGTGGGGACCCAGTAGGGCCTGTGGAAGCAAAGATGGGGGCCCAAAGGCCTATCTGCCTGCTCTGCACTGAGCCCCTGTGGCGCTGAGGCCCCAGACCCTGCCGGGCCCACTAACAAATGTTCTTGCGGGAGGGTAGACCCTCCAGGCTATTGCACTTCTGCTGCTGGCCCCGCACCCCCCAGGAGCTCCTGCCCAGGTGTGCCCTGCAGCCACCTGAACAGAGGGCCATCTTCAGGGAGGGGAGAGTGGCTGGCTGCCCCCCTGGACGGATGAGTAGGCAGGGTGGGGGATGGAGAACTGGACAGGAGGTCCTAGAGCTAGCTGCCCCCGCCCTGGACAGAGTGGGGCTTGGTGGCCGGTGTGGGGGCCGGATCCCCCACTAGCTCACTTTTCAGGTGACTTGCCGGCTCCCGCCTTCCGGCCCGTGGAGCCCCGGGCCACCTTTTCTCTGCCTCCTGGGGGCCAGTCGTCCCGGCGGGGTCCCAGCTTGGGTGTGGGCTCCTCGGGGGACCGCTCTTTGGGCTTGCGACCCCGCTTCTTCCCACCCACTAGGCTTTTCTTTTTCTCTCTCTTAGGCACCACTGAATCCTGGCTCCGGTGTTTGGGAGGCGGGTCTGCTGAGGTACGGAACCAGTTCTGGGGAGAGAAAGGCAGTGATAAAGACCCAAGGACAGGACACAATACCAGGGCCAGGCACGACTGAGCACCAACACTCAAAGCTGTAGGCCCAGCAGCTTTTGTGGCCAGGCAGGCAGCTGCATTGAGGTGGCTGGGGGGCAGAGCACTTCCCAAAAGGTACCCCCCAAAAGTGGCTCCAGGGCACCCACACCTCTCGGCTCTCCCAGGGAAGCCAAACACTACTTTGAAGAGAAACTGCCAGTTTCCTGACATTGGCCACTGGCTCAAACACACACGGAGCAGCCATCACCTCTCCACCACCCCACCCTGGCCCAGTCCCCGCCCTGGGCCCAGCCCCTCTAGCTGCAGGCCTGGCAGGTAGCTCTCGCACCTCTGCGTGGGTCTTTAGGATGTGGTACTTGACGCCGCTCTCAGAGCTGAACTCCTTCGGACACAGAAGGCAGCCATACTTGCCCACCAAGTGGTCCCCCTGTAACAAACAGAACAGTCCAGTCCCCAAAGGTTGGACCCTGTCCCCAACCCTTGGAGGACCCAAAGTACCCAGAGATCACCCTGCAGCAAGACCACCAAATCACCCCTGCTGCTGGGGATTTGGGGAGTGAGGAGAGCATGGGAAGAGGCAGGTGCCCCGAGGGAGGACTGCAGACCCTTGCCAAGGGTCTCTTATCCCAATCTAGTGTGTCCTCTGCCCAGCTAGGGTGACTACTCACACACACTGAGATGAGAAGCCCTGAGGGCAGGATTCAGGACCAAATGGCTTGTTGCTGGGTGTAAGGGACAGGGAGGTGCCCTGGGCTGGCTTTTGGCCACTGACCAGTCTCTGGGTCTATGGAAGAGGCAGACCTATAGGGTGCAAAGTGGGGTCTCATGCTAATGTGTGGGGACCCCTAGTGGGAGTACTCTGGGAGCACTGAGTACACCCTTGGCCATGGAAGAGGCCCCAGAACTGACCTTGCTGCAGCTGGCGAGGTGGGCCTTGAGGCCGGACACACTGGAGTAGATGGCTTCGCAGCACTGCAGGGGAGGCAGGCATGGGCAGGGGTCCAGCAGGCACCACACAAAGTGCAACCCTGCCACAGCCCAGGGAGCCCCCCAGGAGTCCTTGGGTTTGGGCGGGCTGGGCATTAGGGCCTGATGTTAAGGCCCCCTGTGCAGATGGGGGCCTCCATCTAAGGACCCTGCAGGGGCTCAGGGTCAGAGATGGGCTGATCACGTCCTGATGGGTCTCCATTTCAGCCTCTGCTCCTGCCCAGAGGGCCATACCTGGGCTCTCTGTCCCTGAGCCCGTCTCCCCAAGCCCACCCCATCAGCCCACCCCAGCTCACATTGTTGGGGCAGCCGACGTGGCCTTTCTCCTTGACTTCGTTCTTCCACGCCTCCAGCAGCTGGGGGCTCAGTGAGGGGAGGCCTGGCCGAGTGTAGTTGAGCTGTGGAGTCAGGCACAGCACCACATGAGTGGGGCCAGAGGACACCCCCGCTGTGCCTCAGTAGCAGGCATCGTTAGCCCCTCCATGGTCAGGGGTCGGCAGATGGCATAGGTGACAGGGGACTCTGGACATGTCCTGTCCAGAGACCAGGAGGCTGGAGGCCTGGGGTAGCCAATGAGGAGTGACCGGGGCTCCAGCGCTATCTGTGGTGCTTGGACCGGCAGCTCACCCGTGCAGTCTCAGGCACGAGGTCGTCCTTCATGCGCCGCTTGGTCCAGTCGCGGGCTAACTCGTCCTCTGCAATCTCTTGCAGGTGGAACACGGCAACCTGGGCCGATGTGCGGCGGATGCGGCCGCTTGGGGTCCGCTCCACGCCCAGCAGCTCCTCTGCCTCTAGCGGCTTGTCTGTAGATTCCTCAGGGGGCTGGAGGGCAGGGTGAGTCACAGTGAGGAGCAGGCCACACTGGCCCCAGAAAGTGCAGCACCCGGAGCACACGTGGACCCAGGGGGTGTGGGCAACACAGGCAGCCCGTGGGGATGTGGAAGCACCAGGGTCCCAGGTTCACACCCTCCCACCTGCTGGGACACACGCAACTCACAAGGAGAGATGGGGTCACACGTGTCAGGCAGCACATGGACACACATGTAGCACACAGGAAAGAGAATCATGCCACAACACAGGGCCACATGAGAGCTACAAGGATACGGGACCGTAGACCACTCACCGGGGCTGTGTGCTCCGAGCGTATGTGGTAGTCGTGGCCAGCCTTGGAGCGGTAGGTCTTGCCACAGTGGGTGCATGGGAACGAGGGACTGTCCACTTCACAGGGCAGCTTCCCGCAGCGCCGCTGGTGGTACTGGTAGCCCATGAGGCTGGAGAAGGCGGCCCCACAGCCCTGGGGGATCAGGCATCAGAGGTCAGGTAAGTGGCCAGCGAGATGCCAAGCCCCATGCCCCGCTGTGTGTGCCTCCACTGACCTCCTGGGGGCAGCGCAGCCGCCCCATCTGCTTCAGCACCTTGCGCAGCCGGTCTCGCTCCTCCTGCTCGCCCCCCTCAGAGGCCTCGGTGTCGGAAGGCTGGGAACAGGGTACACCTCAGTGCCCCCACTGCTAGGGGCCCTTGGCCCTGCCCCTGCCCAGGGGCAGGGCCACAGTTGTCCAAGGTTAGACATGGGGAAGCTGAAGTGGCGGCGGGGTGAGAGATCGGAGCTGGGTCTGTCATGTACCTTGGCACTGTGCTCAGCCATGGTGTGGTAGTTGAGGCCAGCCTTGGACTTGAACTGCTTCCGGCAGTGCTGGCACTTGAGGGCGTCCTGCAGCTGCAGACATGCCCAACCATGAGAGGCCTGGCCTCAGGGCTAGGGGGCAGGGGGCTCCTCCCTCCTGGAACATTCTGGGGGCAACCTTACCTTCTGACACACCTCCATGTGTTTCTTGAGCCCCACGAGGGTCTTCCGAGTGACCACATTGCAGGTGGGGCAGACAGCCTCCCCCCGCTCATGGATGGCCCGCTGCCACTGCTCCTCAGGGCCACCTGTGGGGCAGGGCTGGGGCCTCAGGGGCTTGTGGGGGCTCCTGGATGCCCTGGACGCCAAGTGCAGAATCCGAGGTCCACACTCAGCCCCCCATCCCTGTGTTCGGGATCCACCCCACAGTAGAGACCTGCCCTGGGCCTCTGCCAGGCAGCCCCCACCTGGGGCTGGGTGGGCCACAGGGGCCAGCGCTTCCTTGCTGACAGTGATGGGGGTGGCCAGCACCTTCTTCCGCACGTCTTCGGGGCTTGGCCCCTCCTGCTTCTTTGAGCGGTGAACTCGGGCCTTGTCCTCGGCTTTGGCCAGGCCTATGTACACACACAGGGCAGGGCAGTAGGTGTGGGCTGTAGGGGCTGGCACACATGTGGACAGGCCTCGCCCCAGAGGTGCCCAGCTGGCTGGGGTCTCACCTTTGAGCCCAAAGGTCCCTGAGATGGACGGCTGCTCCCCTGTAAACTTCTTGGGTGTTTTCTGTTTCCTTCCTGACTCGGGGGAGAGAAAGTAAGGGCCAAGATTCTGGTCAAATAACCATCAGGAGGCCAGAACCACCCTGGCTGCTGCCCCCAGGCTCTCTTCTTACTGTGCTTTGTGCGCTCTGGGTCCTCTTCAGAGGTGGGCACAGGACCTGCAGCCCGTAGCACCTCTAGGTCTCCAGAGGGCCTGCTGCCTGGCAACAGGGAGCCGCTGCTGGGGTTTGCATTCAGCTGCAAGGCTGTGCTCTGGCCTGTGGTGGACGGACCATACTCCCTGTTCTCTGGCCTTGCCTGCTTGGATGGGATGGGGCAGGCATCCAGGCTGTCCGCAGACCTACAGGGAGCAGGTGAGATGAGGGCCAGGAGGGCCTGACCTTGGGCCTCTTAACCCCCAGGCTGCGGCCGAGGAACACCCCAAGCTGGAACAAGTGCTCGTACCTTTTCTTGCCACCATTCCTCCCTGTGGCACGCGGTGCTTTGTTCTCAGACTTGGTCAGCAGTACCATTTTGCAGGGCGGTGTGTGTCTGCTGATGGCAATGGGCCTGCTGACCGTTACCGGCTTGCTGACCACAATGGGCCTGCTCACTGTCACTGGCTTGGTAACTGTCATGAGCTTTGTGACTGGCATGGGTTTGGTGACCGGCACAGGCTTGGTGACTGGCACAGACTTGGTGACCGGTATTGGCTTGGTAACTGGCACAGGCCTTGTGACCGGCATGGCCTTGGTGACTGGCATGGGCCTACTGACTGTGACAGGCTTGGTGACTGGCATAGGCCTAGTGACCGGCACAGGTTTGGTGACCGGCACAGGTTTGGTGACCGGCACAGATTTGGTGACTGGCACAGGTTTGGTGACCGGCACGGGCCTGCTGACCGTAACAGGTTTGCTGATGCCGATGGGTTTGCTGACACCCACAGGTTTGCCAATAGTGACAGGTTTGCTTACTCCAATGGGCTTGCTGACCCCAACAGGCCGGCTGATGGTCACTGGCCGGCTAACTGGCCCAGGCTTGGGGGCAGGCAGGGGTCGGTCCATGTGGTTCCAAATCCGGTGTTTCTCCAGCTGGGTCTTGGAGGTGAATGCGGCCTCGCAGAAGGGACAGGGGAAGGCCAGCCTATCTGAGATGGCGCCCTGGGCAGGGAGGGCAGGTGTGGGCTGGAGCCCCACGGGCCTCTGCCCAGACACACCCCCAGGCCTCCTCTTCCCCAACCCACAGCCCCTTACCCCTTGGCACCGCTGGTAATGGTACTTGAGCCCGTAGATGCTGGGAAACTCCAGCCAGCACCCCGAGTTTGGACACTTCACCCTCGAGTGTGCCTTGAATTCATCTTTCCACTGGTTCATCAGGGAGAGCTGGGCGTGGGGAAAGGCTGGGCTGCTGACCCCTCACAGGCCTCTGTTATCCCGAGCCCCAGACTCAGAGCCCTCCCCAGGTGTTCATGGCACACAGGCCACATAAGTCTCTCAACCTTAGGACTGCAGCCAGAATTCAGGCCATCCTGAGCAGTGGCCACCAGACCTGTTCTAGAAGCCTGACCAAAGGAGTCCACTGGGACGTTATGCATGTCAGAGACTAAGGCCCCAGGCCACATGAAGCCCACCAGGCCAGTGCTCATACCCGGAAGTGACCTCAATAGGGAGACCCCAGCATTAGCCCACCCGGGCCCTCAGGGAGCTCACAGGAATGTCTCGGAGGGCCTGGTTCTCAGCTTTTGGCCGTCCCTTTTTCTTCCCTTCCATCCTGTCACTGGCTGGACTTCCTGGGTCAAAGCAGAGTGGGGCTTGGCCAGGCACTGTCTGTCCACTGCAGACCACCGGCATCCCTGCAGTGCACAACACACCAAGGCTCAGAGGCTATGTGGCCTAAGGGGCTGGTCAGTTCTGGAGCATGCCTTTTTTCCCCAACACCAAGGCACAAGGGGCAGGGGTCTATGGTCAGCTTGCAATAAGAACCTAGAACCCAGGGCTATGTTTAAGACAGTCCCCATCCTAGGAAGGCCCTCAGAAACTCAGGTGGCCTGGCTAGGTGCCCGGAGACTGGATACCGAAGGACACAGCCTATTCCATCTGCTAGCTGTCCATGACCATCTGGAATGGGTTTTGGCCCTGAGTCCTCTTACCCAGCTTTGGTGGGTCATGCAGCATGGGAAGTCGAACCTCCTTCCGGCCACCATCCTTCCCGGGTCCACTCCTGCTGGACCCCTGGAGCCGGCGGCCTCCTCCAACACAGAATGGATCGGTCATCTCTGCAGAGCACATGGATAGGCCTGAGGGGCGACAGGTCCAACTTGCAATGTGCCTTGGGGCTGCCCTGGAGCCCTGCCCCCTGCAGACAGGCCCTTTCTGGCCCAGGAGGGGAGCCTTGCTGTGCTTTCGGTCATGTGGGAAAAGCAAGGTGGGCTTCTGATCAGGGGAGAGGCTGACAGCTATGGTCTCCCCAAATAACCCAAGAAGCACTAGCCGCTTGGAAAGACCTAATCCTGTCCTGAGACACCCGCCAGCTTCAACAGACTCCCTCTGTCCCAGACACAGGTCCCAAAATGTACCAAGATCACACGCCTCTCGCTGGGTGGGGGTATGTCACCAGGAGAGGTAGCCTGTGCAGGAGGCAGGAGGCTGACAACATCCCTCCAGGGCCAATTATGACACCATTAATGGCTGCTGGATCACAGGCCACCCAGCCCGGGCACTTTGGGGACAACTTCTCCACAGGGCTCTTGCCCTTCCCCACCCAGACGCAATGTACTGTCAACCTACCCAGGCATCCCCCTGGATCCTTCTCCCCAGACACAGGACAGCAAAGGTGGGCGCCGAGGGCTCCAGCCTACTCCCCAACCACATGCACCCCTCTCTGGTGGGCAGACAGAGGACACCACCAGCACCCACCTCTGGCCCCCATACGAGCCGAGCCATCTTATCTGACCCTCTTCTCAGCCTTGTCCCCAGCCAGGGACCCACCACCCAGACAGAGGTCTTGTGCTTGGCCCCTAGACCACCCTGGCTGACTCACCTCCCTTCACCTGCACTCTCGAGCCCCTAGGTTCCCTGCCTACAGGCCCACCCACACCACTTTAGCAAAACAAGTCACGGCAAGACCAGGCCGCAAAGCCCCAGGCTCCGGAGCCTGCAAGGCCGCTGGCCAGAGAACACCCTGAGGCCCAAGGACGGGCCTCCGTGGCCTGTTCTTCTGGGGGATCCCACAACCTGAGAGAGCACTGTGGAGCAAGAGAGGGCCTGAGCCCAGCCCCGTTCAAGGTCCTCCCACAGGGACACTCAAAGCCACAGAAGAGGGTGGTACCGGGGAGCAATGTGAGGGTGTGTGAGCCGATGACTCCTCCTCTGACAGTTCCTAATCGATTTAGATCAGAGGGGATAGGAAGGGGCTGCTGTATCCAGGAAGACTAGAGGGCCGAGGTCAGAGGTCAGGACAGCCACTGCCCATTGACGAGGAGGATGTCAGCATGGGGGGTGAGATCCTAGGACACCCAAACAAAGTTCTCTGGACATCCTCACTTTGCAACTTCGAAAACAGAGTGGACATGAGTCGCCCCAGCCCGATGACCCCAGCGGCCTGGGGTGCTGGTGCCTGCTGAGCTCCCCTCCTACTCTTTCTGAAGCCTGGGACGAGACTGCAGGGTCGGGGGCCTGAGGCCAGGGCCGGCCCTGTAGGCAGAGCCCTCCTTCCCTCCCGGACCCGCGCCTCGTGCGCCAGGACAGAAGGACGTCCACTGTCCCAGCAGCCCGGCAGGGTGGTGGCGGCGGCGCCCTCGCGGGTCGCGTGGTACTTGACGCCGCTCTCA